CCTATTTTCTGTCTATCCACAGGCCACATCCAGTGGATTGTGAATAGTACCTCAATAAACAAATGATTTTAAGTGTCTCCTTCATACATAGACTAGTTATTTTTTGTAATTTTACCTACAGATGGGATTGCTGGATCATATGATAGATATGTCTTTCATTTGAAAGGAGACTTCAATACAGTTTTTGAAAACAGATGTAATAGATGCAAGGAGAGATAGCAGAGTTGAAGATTTCTCTATTTCTCTGAGTGAGAAGAGTTTGGATAACAAAGAAGAGAAAAAAGAGACAGAGCATCAAAAACCATGACAGAGAGAAAGGAAAAATGGGGAAAAAGAAATGCCACAGGGTAGGAAACCCCCTTCAGGTTCAGGCTCAGTTCACCTTGTAAGAAAGCAAACAAACCTTCCATCACAAGGACCTCTAGGTGGCTTTGATGACAGATTTACAGAACTAGCTGTGAGACAAGCTCTCATTTCCCCCAATCTGAAGTCAAGAGTGGGAGTTTAGTGTGACAATGACTTCTACTTGATGATTGGGTAGTTGTTGAAAGCTATAGTCTGACAGATACCCTACTGTTGAAGACTATGCTATAGTTGAATTTATAAATTAGGTAAAGTCCACGATCAGGGAATCTTGAGATTCCTTGCTTCAGTGTCTGCATGGGAGATGGGCATGAGAAGGGATAGTGGATAGTGAGAAGTTCTGACATTTGCACACTGATATGTTGAAATAGCAAAATGTTCCAGCAGCAAGGGGTGTTGTAGTTGGTGGCCACAACACCCTAGCAAGTAGCAAGGATCATGGTGGAGCAGAACACCTGACCTTGGCCTGCAGAGAGCTTGTCATCCAGGAGCTGCCTGACTACTACTGGGGTTTGCTGTCAGGTGCAGATAATGAATTGAAAAGAGTAAATATGAAAATTATCAACAAAATTAACAGTAACAACTATAAATACCTGGATGAATTCAAAGAGAAAACAAATGAACTTGTGAAATATGTAAGAAAGACAATGCAAGATGTGGAAGCAGACTTTGATAAAGGTACAGAAATCATGAAGAACTCAAATTGAATTTCTAGAAATGGAAAGTTCCATGATCATATAAGTAATCCTGTTTAATAAGTGTTTGCCTCATGAATCTTTTCAGCACTGTGCTTAATGTACCTTGCATTTGTATGAGTCTAAGGATCTATGGAGAACAAAACCCTGTGTGTTCAGGTGAAACACTGAAGGTAATTTATTGTGCTAGATTTAGCTTAGTTTGAATAAAAATTGTTGTCATTTTATGTTTGGCTTTGCTTATGAAATTGACTGTATAGAAAAAATGTCACACATGAACAGACTTGGTAAAACATGCAACAGAGTATTAGATGTTTGATGCATTGAATAATGGGAGGGTCTTTCTTTCAGGGAACTTCTCTCCACATTTCTACTACACCACATTGATTTTATTTTCCCATAATTACTTACACTCACACAGCAGAAAGCTGTGTCCCTCCATTCAAATTACAGTATTCCTACGAAGCACCTTGCTTGTCTATAGGCATCACAAAAGGAGCCAATAGAAAATACAGGAGTGGTACTGAAAGTGGTTTGCTCTATGTTTGTAGGAATGCTGCAGAACAGTTTATTTGCTATAGAATTTGTGTTCATGATCTTGGAACATTATTATAGCTACAATATCACTAGGTCATAGAATCCTCTCAGCTCAATTATCTATGAGACCTTGCAAAGCATGTAGTTGTTAGCTTCACTTAATATCTCAGTGATCTGATCAGGATGTTGGCAGAACCATCAATGATAAAAGAGAATTCTGACAAGACCTCAGGTGGAAATTAGGAACAGTAGGTTGGAAGATGGTGGACAGGGCACCGTTGGAATAAAGAGGCACAAAACTTGGCTGAAGTGTGCTCAGGCCCTAGTGTACTGTGGATATTAGAACTGAGGAACAATAGGTGAGGGTGTATAAATGAATGAATATCCAAGCGGAATTTAGGTTTAATATTGCTTCTCTAGATGCTTATAATATAATGTGAAAAGGGAAAAAGGAGTAAAAAGTAATATAAAACTGAAGTGCAGAAAACTAACATGTGTGGAAAATACTGAGCCTGGGCAAGAATGGAGTGGAGAGCAACGTTTGGGGAGAACAGGCTGTGGGCAAGAGAACATGTGATGAGAAGGTGGTGTGAAAGAATTAGCTAGGCGGTTTTGAGCAGAAAAATGAGTGAATGACAAAAGAGAAGGGAGAATCTACCACTCCCCTCACAGAATCTTGTGTGGGGACATGAAAATAGTGTAGAGTTAGGAAGTCTAGGGATGACCTCAGGGCTCTCTTTGCAGGGTAACCTTAAGTTTCTGAAGCATGGATTTTTCTTCTGCCATCCTCAGACTCCTCAGGTGTAGTTACAGTGTGAATAAGTGCACTGTGGATCTCAGTGCTTGCATCTGAAGAGAACACAGCAGAAATCTCCATGGTTATGATGTGAGGATGAGTCTGCAGGTACATAGAGACCAACAGCTGTGAGTTCAGGACCATCTCCCTATAGCTTGCAAACGATGTGCAGATTGCATCAGTGACAGGCAAATTACCAAAGAAAGGAAACTTTAAGAAAACCATATATGAATGCAGTGTCTGCTGAAAAGTGGGGTAAAAGACATACAGTGAGATTCCAGAAAGATAATGCATGATGGGACTATAGGGTGAGTCATAAACACCAGCTCAGCAGGGACATCAGCCTTCAAAGTCAATTTAGGAGAGATTCACATATGCATCTCACACTACGAGGGCGATTTCATCAATTGCACCAACCAGAGTGTGTGGATGAGAATGCCAGCGCCCTGTGGGCGCAAACTCCATTCAAGTGTGCATGAACTGCAGAACATCAAGTCTAACGACATCATTCCAAAAACTAAGGTTCAATGCTATCCCAGTTGGATTTTGCATTATATAGGATTGGTTATTACTTGTTTCCTTACTACTATCCCTGCTCAAAGTCAATGTCTGCCATATGCTCATCATTTTGGAAGTGCTTTTGATATAACAAGTACACCTGGGAAGAATAATACCTGGAGTGTCACTCATTTCTCATTCAGAAGACATATGGACTTAAACACTGAAGTCAATGCTGAAGTTGTGTAATACTTAGGGGATAGTTAGATGAAAGGAATGTATTCAGTATGTGAGAAGGACAGTAAGTTGTGATAAATGATGGAAAGCTATGATTTGAATACATGACTTCTCATCCTCATACTTTACAAGTTAATGCCTAAGCTAACATAATTGAGATGTAGAGTCATCAGCAGAAAAATTATACAGGAATTCTTTACCTTCATAATGTGATAAGTGCCCTTATAAAATGGTTTCTTAAAGGAAATTTATCTCTTGTTTTCCATCTGCAAAATCAGAACACAGAGTGCATCTCTTCTGCCACAATGGAAGAGAACATACACAACTTTGGAAAGAGTATCATTTCCAACCAGATGACAAATCTCACATTGCCCTCATCATAAACTTCTCAACCTCCAGAAATATGACAAGAAAATTGTTTATTTGTTAGATACACTTTATTATAGCAGGAATAGTGGGCTATGACACCTCCTACATTTGTGTATCCTGGAATATTCACACTCTGAGGCTTCAGTCCAATTGACAAAAGTAATACATGCATTACTTCCAGTTTAACCTCCTTTCTCTGCCATGTGTCACCTGCTAGACTCTACCCTACTTGCTCCTTCTTCCCCTCCAAACACCAGAATAACCAGATTCCTTATTGTCCTTTAGTCCTGTGAACTCAACTTTCTTAGAAACTGAAGGGAATTTGTTAGTTTGCAATTTTTCAAAGTTTCTTGTTACTGTTTTGTAATTGTGGTTACCTTTCTTCAGATCTTTACATATGAAAGGTGAATAGCAACTGACTTTGTAACATCTAGAAAGTGATAAAAATATTAAATACCCATGAAGAGAGAAATTGGAAAAACTTAACTGTTCTCATATACTGGGAAATTACTTCACCTAAAATTCCATCAGTGCCAGAATCACACAAAATACGAAGGTATTTGAAGGCAGATTCTGAGTTAACATGCTAAATAATTAAAAGTTCATACTCTACAAGACACTGGTGTCAATTATAAAAAAATGAAAAACGAAAACAAGTGTAAAGCTATATAAAGAATGTCCTGACTTCTGTGATGATAGGAAGTAAGGAGAGAGGGTAGAAGGGTGGATTATGTATGAATCCTAGGAAATAATTTAATATTTAATAGTGTTTATGAGGTGACTTGCTGACAACTGTGTTTTTGTCCATGCAGACTAACATTATATGCATTCTTTCCAAGTGAGGTTTCTACAAATTAACACTACATGTCATTAGAGAAAGAGTGACAGACATGTAGATTATGACTGAGTCAATGAACAGAGACTCATTACTATGTGCCTTACGAACCCTGTTTCACTATGATTTCTGTTAGTAAACACTAAAATGCAGTGGTCACATCTATTCTCAGGACAGGAAGAGATTCTGTTAACTTCACAAGCATGTCTGCTCCATTCATGATCTGGTTCAGTGGCAGTGATTTCAACACTGAGGAGTACAGTCCCAGACACTATTACAAGACATGAGAACTTGTTCAAACAACACACAGTGAATATTTTTTTAATTCACTTCTATAGATTGGAGTTGGCATTAACATAGAAATTACACATTTGAACATGAACAAAAATGAAATGCAAGGAAGAGTTCTAAATATTTGGCAAGACACATCCAAACTGTGTGACAGGATATATTCTAGCATGTCACTATTATCATTTCTGGTCCCCAGGAATTCTTATCTCATATGGGCACTACCCTTTCTGACACTTCCACATAGAGCTTTTTATATAGCATGATATTCAAATAGGGCCTTCCTCTGCTCATGAAAACCAGCCCAGACCTGACCCTGCAACTTTGGGAGAGGATCACAGCCCTGGATTCACAGATCATTGTATTCAGTGACCAACACATTATGGAGTTGTGGCTGAGCTCCATTGTTCTTGTTGCTATTTTTAAAGGCGATTTATGAATAAAAAGAGATATGGAGTATGTGAGTGGACATGAGTGAGAGGAACAGTGGGAATGAGTGAGAGTTTCCTGACCAGGATTTTCTGTGTTTGCAGGTGTCCAGTCTGAGGTGCAGCTGGTGGAGTCTGGGGGAGGCTTGGTGAAGCCTGGGGGTTCCCTGAATCTCTCCTGTGCAGCCTCTGGATTCACCTTCAGTAGCTATGGGATAACCTGGGTCTGCCAGGTTCCAGGGAAAGGGCTGGAGTGGGTGGCAGTTATCTGGTACCATCGTAGTCAGAACTACTATGCAGAGTCTGTGCAGGGCAGATTCACCATCTCCAGAGACAATAGCAAGATCCAGCTGTATCTGCAAATGAACAGCCTGAGAGTGGAGGACACTGCCATTTATTACTGTGTAAATGACACAATGAAAAGACTTCAGTTAAAGCCCAGACACAAACCTCCTTGCCAGGCACTCAGGCCCCTCACAGGGGATGAACACCAGGAGGGGGCGCTCAGTACACACTGAGTACAGTATCAGCCCATGTGCAGGTGCAAAGGGTGGTTAAGAACTGGTTTCCTATCAGGGTCTGTGGCTTCCTCTCCATAGGACAAGTTCCCAAAGCAGCATACAGTTCCAATGTGATATCTCTGATTTTGAAATGTTTGTTTTAACAAGATGATCTCCATATCTTCATGTTAAGGTTAATACTTCGGACACAGAAAGATAGGAATTATGTATTTACTCTTATAAGTGGGTTCTGGGGTCAAAAATTGACATTGGATTGGAAGGGAGACTAGCAGAGAAAGAGGAGAGAAGAAGGTAGGAGTAGTTAAAGGGAATGTGGTAATCAAGGATCCATGTGACCAAAGTTTAAACTATTCATACATGAAAACATCACAGTGAAACCATAATTACTCTAAAGCATAATTTTATAAATCTATGAATAATAAAAACTTTTAAAAGGAAGGCACATTATCACATATATTAGTGTCTAGGAGTCACTTATAGGAACAGAAATGACTCTGCAGTGATAATGAGCACCAGATCCTGAAGATGTTCATGGGATATTACTGAGTATTTCCCCATCAGAAAAGAGGTTCCATGGAGGTCTCTTGACTAGGTCTTCATGACTCATACAGCGTATGGGACATGTTTCAGGACAGAGGTAACCCAGGCTCAGTGAGCCATAATCAGGAGTGGATTTACATTCAGCAATCTGAGTACTGATTTGATTGTCTTTGTCACATATTCTCTTAATTCTCCTTGGTTTCTTTCTCACATCTGTCTGTCCTCCATGTTCTTCCTACAGTGCAGGATATGGACTCCAATCTCAATAACAGGATGAAAGTCCTTTACCTGAACCTCAGGTCTGGTTTCTGTAAACCAAAAGGAAAGCTCCTGACAAAGAAATCATGCAACTCACTATGCAGGTAAGTAACAAGATTGCTTCTTCTGCAAAATTCAAGGATGGGCTTCGGGAAAGAGATCATGCCTGAATATCTTTACCCTCCCTATAGCCAGAGACACCAAAGACACCCCTCAAGGACCACCTGGGAAGCTAAGGACCTGCACACATGGGAAAAATGCCAGAGATTTTAACACACCTCTCAGCCTAATTAGAGAGAATAGGCTTTAATATAAGATACTTAAGTTTTACAGTATTTACCCTTGTTTTCTAAAGAATTTCACATAATTCTTTCTTGATTGTCTTTATCTGATTTACTTAGAATTCATCAAACACTACGTTATGTATAAATGTCTGTGAAATCAACAGGATAACATGGTCAAGATTATAGTTTTCTATGACCCGGGCAGAATGAACAGAAGAATCTGAATTCAACCTTAGCCTTACACACACACACACACACACACACACACACACACATCCCTGAAGGTATCCTGAGGTGTCATCCTTGCATACACACCACTGTCCCTCACAGCTAACCTTGGACCTCACTTTCCAGCACATCCTTGGAAACCAGGGGCACATCCAAAACCTGCACCCTATTCTTCACCTCACCTGGGGGCAACTCCTTCCCTGTTCTGTCTTGTCTTAAAGCGATGACAGCTCCTATTCTTGGTGTGTTGGCCACAGTTCATCTACTGTATTCAGTCCATGGGGAAGAGCCCCTTCCAGAGCATTCCATCACCTGAGAGGTATCATTTTTTACTGCTGGAATTTATGAATTACATTTTCTGAGAACATCTCTGGAATATCAGATGTTGTCATTATTGACATACTGTATCCTTCCTCCTTTTTTTTTCGGGTTCAGTCATGAATGCTCACATGTCATTTTCTCATAAAAGAGTAGATCCCTATCTCTGTTAACAGATCAGAGATCCACTCTAAATGTGCTTCAAGTTTCTGCTCTAAAGTGCAAATATCTTTAAAACCATCACCGAAATTTTTAGCACAAAGAAAGTATGGACAATCTAATCATAAATTCTCTTAAATCCATTGTGTATGAAAGGTCAGGAAGAACGACAACCCAGAAACATGAGGGACAAGGTTGTCCATGATCACAGGTGAGACAAGTTTCCCTGGAAGAAAGTCACTGGAGGCACAGATGGAGGGAGCACTTCCATGCTGGTCAGGAGCAGGTGAAGGACAGGTGGAGAAGAGGATGAGGCTGAGAACTCCTGGGGATTGCACATGTCAGACTTTCTCTCCAGAACCCTCCAACCACAAGGTTAGGATCATAGTGGATGCATTCAGGGATCTGACATAGAGAAGGAAACTCTTACTTATGAAGACAGGAGATCCAAAGGATCACTATGGAAAGTCACATTCCTTCCATGTATTCTCAACACCATTCCAAGATTCAAGGCCCTGGTGTAGTCTACAGCACAGAATCCATCTCCTGTCCAGCAGTGGGACAGAGACATAGACCTGGCATTTGGTGAGAGTTTATGGGAAGCCAAGTAACAAACACCCTATAATTGCAGGAAAGAATTCTTCCATTTTTCTGTGACCAAGACCTTCTGGCCACTTGAAGCCCAGCTGGCCCTCAGGCATTTTCCCTACACAGGAGCCAAGTAGAGATGTGCTAATCTGTCCAGGCAGAGTAACCATGTGCTGGTCTGTAGTTCCTTCCTGAAATTAACACTTAGTCCCCATATGAAGCACATGTGTGCAGGTAAGGCATAGAACAATTCACAAACACATCCATGAAGAGCTCATTAGTCTGGTCCTTGGGGCTCTATCAGAACATACTTCCTTTCCTGGAATTCCACAACTGTGTCTTCACCCAGCTGTGCTTCTGAGAACCAGAAATGGGCAGGATGCAGGTCTATGGTGATTTCATCAGCATTCAAGTTTCAGTGTTGGCTGCAGGTCTGGAGAATTTTGGTGGGAGTGACCCACTGCAGAGAAGATCAGTCACTTCTCATGGTACCTGTGAGGTTCTGAGAAAATGGGAAATCATACAGAACCTCAATGTAGGTAATGCCCATGACCCCACCTGCATTGCATCAACTTTGTTTTCTAATTTCAAAATGAACATTTGAGGGCTCTGTTGGAGACACTGCCAAGTAAGAGACACGGAGAGAGGATACAGGTTGGGCCCATCACCAGAAGCTGCATCCTACATCTGTGTGACTGTCTTCATTAAAAGAAAAGTTGACAGTGAGTAGTGGGGTTTGTAAGGGAATGGAGCAAAAATCTCAGTCTTTCTGAAGGGTGACAAAAACCAAAGCACAGACATTTTCCACTTGGGAGAAACATGTGAGCCTAGACTGGGCCCTCCCTGTAGGATGGGCTGGTCTTTGGATTGTCAGGGCCCACCTAGGACAGGTGCAGATTCTGTGCTTGTTTCAGAGGCCTAGGCAAGTCTCACCTCTTAGGTATGAGACAAAATCTTCATAATTAGGTTTGAAACTGCTTTTGCTAATAAGTTTCCTAGCTTGCTGAGAATATTTATAGAGAGAAAGTCCCATTTAGAGTATTGCCCAGTGCTTCTTCACATCTTAACCACAGGAAATTGGAGAAACAGTCTCCATTTATTAATTCACAATGTAACAGACAGCAGATTGCACTAACATGATCAAAAATGGAAAAGGTGGTATTTCACTGCTAGTGACCATTACGTTGGGTTGTCCAGAGCAGTAATGGAGCCTAAATCCTCCTTCTCACCAGATAAGCATTCACATGCCTGCTACATTTTCTATGTCAGTCAAAATCTACACTGGCCTTAGCACAATTCCTTTGCAATTCCTTAAATTTCAGGACACTCTTTCTGTTATTAACCAAACCTCAGGTCTCCTCCCCAGGTTCTAACAAGAGGGTCCATTTTTGTCTTGTAATCTGCCTCATCCTACTGCTATATCTCTGAAATAACCTGATGTTATCAGCCTTATTATTATCAAATTCACCCTGTTGAATCTATTTTGTAGTAAGAATGCAATATGCTATATCCATTGTCTTTTCATGAGATAATTTGGGGAAAAGGGATATTCAAAGAATATGGGATCTAAATTAGTCAATGAATGTGTAAGAGCACTGAGGTGAGGTTCTCTGACCTGCCCAAGTCACATGTATATCAATTCAGGAAAGTAGGCCAGGTGACCACTGTGATCTGATACAAATTCATGCAGGACCTTGATGACTTCACAAAGAAATGGTAATAGTATAGCAGTGGTGTAACAATAGGACATCATTTGTTCCCTTATGTAACATTGACCCATATAGTTAATATTGTAAGACTGAACTTACGTCTTTTCAGACTGGACATTAGAAAGCAGAGTACAAAGCTTTGATGTCTCAAGTAGGGACAGATGGATCTGACTTCTGTTCTCTACCACAATTTACTCATATCATTTCACCTGCAATTTCATGATTAAGTGACATAAAGTATCAGAATGGCAGCTATCCTAGAGAACATTTAAGGAATAATTCCTTAAACAGGGAATACCTCAGTCTATAGCAAGGCTGTTGATTTTAGAAAACCTTCAGTGTGCCACAAGATTGTCAATGACATTAAAGTTCATTTTCCAGTGTAGTTGGATATCTTGCAATGAAGTCAAGCACAGTGATACAGAACTAGAAATAGTTTCTTCTGCTGCAAGAGAGTGTACCTGAAGAATGGTCACTGGCTAACCATATCCCTGTGCTGAGGGATTTTCAGCAGCTGCCTCTGTTTCCAGCTCTGAGGTGCATGTTCCACAATGATCTCCACCTACAGGCAGTCTACCTACCAGTGTGTTCTTGAAAAAAGTCAGAATTCCACAGGAAAAAGCAAGTATAGGTCTCTGAATGCTATTTTCTTATTGCTACAAATGGACATCATATTAACAAAAACATCTACTATGTACCAGATACACAGTGCATGCTATGTTTGCTTGAACAAGCTTCCCTTCATAATATCTTTTGAATGTTCATGGTGAAGGTTTTTCATGTAAAAATATGAACTTAGATCACATGGCATATGTGCCGCCATCTTGGAACATGGAATCCTGGAAGGACTTGAGCATGGCACAGCTATTTTAGGGGAGCTGAAGGTTACCTTCAGGTTCAAATGGAGCCTTCC